AAAAGGAGTGAAAATATATCACGTAATATATTCTAGAGAGAGAGTTAGAGAGAGAAGGAGAAAGAGAGAGGAATGAGGAGAAAACCCTTTAGAGAGAAGATCAAGGAAGAAGAAGTTTAACTTTCAATCCGAAAGTTTAAGGCAAGTTCTTCTTCTATCTCTTTCCCTTTGATTCGTGTTTCTGTACATGCCTAGGAAATTCCAGGATTTACTAAACACATAAAATTAAATAATTATGCATGTTTAATTGGATTAAAGTATAGGTTTTTGTGAAATTGGGTCATATCTGTTCTTGTGTTATAAATTAAAAAAATGCATGATTTTGATTTGATTTCTGGTGTGAATTTTTATATGTTTGAATTATGTATTTTTCATATATGTGGAATGATGGAACGTAGAAACATGCCTAGGATTCCTGAACATTAAATAGGGACTAGGTTTGGGTTTAAATAAATTTAAATACACTCAATCATAACGATGCTTGCTATTTAAATGTTTACACAAACGAATGGATTTAATCTTTTAAAATGCTTTAGCAATTGAGAATAAATGTGTAGGATGAATTGGATATGGAGAATGCTTATTTGACGATATAATAAAATATCATCATGTATAAGATTCAGTTTGTGTAGGACATATGATATATGAGCTTAAATAAATAATAAGTCATTCATATTCTGTGATAACTTGATATCATATTATCATAGTTATTTCTGGAATGTTTGATGTATTTCTTTAATTATTACATCAATTGTTGGATTGTGTGGTTTAATGCACCGGTATGGGACGGTGGCATTCTAGGGACGGATTAACTTATCAGTTAAGTCCTACCTATTTTATATAAGGGAATGGATTAACTAAAATGTTAAGTCCTACTTATATTCAAGTCAGGTCAGCTGAACAAGTTGAATGACTTATAGAGGATTAATTTATTATATAAGGGAATGGATTAACTAAAATATTAAGTCCTACTATATTCAAGTCAGGTCAGCTGAACAAGTTGAATGACTTATGGAGGATTAATTTATACTGGATAGGATGGTCACTAGATTTTATATATATAAGTATGGTGCCATGATATGAGCTTGAGTCTCAGGATCAATGGTTAGGGTGCGTATATCGCCAGGGATGTGTAGCTAGATATAGTGTAGTTGTGTACCCTGGTAGGTCTAGGTACTCATGCCCACTATATGTGCGTTTTGCATGTTGCCTACTATTCAGGTTGAGACAACCCTATAATCTAGTGAGGTTCCTTTAGTGTGTATATATATATATACGGACTACTAGTTACTGTTGGATTGACTAGGATGTATACGTGTATCGGATCTCTGCTTGGACTGTAGTAGAGTAGAACTTGTTTGTGGGCCTGACCCACCATTATTTTTCAGGTGTTCGTCACGAGTAGAGGTTGTTCGTGCTGAGCGGGGATCAATCTACTTCATTCTTCCGATGCTACATAGGAGTTCCTTTATGATTCAGTTCCTGTTTTAGAATACTGTCATTTGTTTAGTTTAGATTTTCTAGGGGTCCACACAGTATGGATTCCCGAGTTGTATTTTGGAGGATCAGTTGTATCAGAAGAGTTTATTAATTAATGGAAATATATTATGAGGTTTATTATTAGATTATCATTTTAGTTTCTTGTCAGCATTTTATTTATTCTTCTTTATTCTTTTGTACTCTGTGTTCGTTTATTATCAATTTGTTTTGATATCCTCGGGTATTCGGGCGTGGGCCTGGCCAACCCACATTCGGAAATTCGGGGGTATCACATATGTTGAATGAGTCTGCTAATACAGCAGTCAAGTTTTTGATGCCAGGTGAAAACTAAAACCTTCCTAACAACAGAGGAGATCATGACATCAAAGATCAAGCAATTGAAGAGGAACAAGGTGTGTTAATTGTTTTTTTCATTGTTAGCTTCATAACATTGCTATTTTATATTCAATTGAAGTTGCAGAAGTTAGGAACAATACAAATATTTTGTGGAAAAAATATATATATGCAGAAAAAAATCATTCATTTGAATTACATTAATCCTATTGTTGAAGATGAGAAGCCATCTCTTTAATTGGCAGCATCCTCTACCTGAGTTGGGAGTTGAACAAGTGCAAAGCAAAGTTGCAATTCGGGCGTTCAGAATGACCAAACTTGAAGAATGTCATCTTCAACAAACTGATTGGCTTTGGCAATGAATTTCCAAGGCATACACTGGGCTACTCATATCCCACATTTTAATCTGTGTCCTAAATTCATTCAATCCCGGATCAATCAGTAAAGCGTCTATTCCCACCCGTTTCTTTCCTTCTTTCATCTTCAACCGTGCCTTTTCATCATCGGTCAGAAATTGGCTTCTCACATCGTTCACCGGCATGGACAAATGTTTGTGATCAATGCTAAGATCAGTAGCAAACAAGGTCTTCTGTATCAGCAGCTGGATTTTAGAACCGCCAATCTTGCCGATTCTATTCCTCATCCATATAGGCATGTCCATTATACTTGTTGGTCTTCTTCTTCTCACCATTGATGATCAAGTTTTGATGATCAGTGGCCAAAGTTTCAAGAAACAGATTATTGATGATGGGTTTCTTGCCCTGTTTCTTCATGGGTGATCGGAGGGGCAGTTTCTTGATGGGCTCCTTGGGAGTTGAAAAATGATTGGTGGGTGTCTGAATCTGATGATGATTCATGGGCTTCTTGAGAGATGGTGATCTCTGTTTCTTGACTGGCCATGGGAGAAGCAGAGAGAGGCGATGGTTTTCTGTGTCATATTTGTCCCTGGCAATTCTGCAAACTTCCATCAAGCAATCGAATGGACTCTCCAATTGGGATTGATCTCAACTACATCTTCAAGGCGTACGTCGCTCAACACCATCTTCTTCTTCTTCATCGATTCTTTGCGCAGTGGAAAAAAGTGAAACGGACACACACTACTTACGCATTCACTTTGTCTCTTTGGGAGTCGATCTCTCATTATCTACTTTAAAAAATAGAGGAGATATCACTCGGCCTCAAAGTCCTTTGTAACGAATACACTAATTAAATTGACACTAGTACACCGCTTCATATTTTGAATTTTTTTTTATTTAATTAGTATATATTTTACTATTATAAGCCTTCAATATTCCATGAATTGGCCAACACGTCCAATTTCTCAAATTTTAACAAAATTAAATAAATACATATTTATAAGTATAGTACTATATGTTTACTAAATCCATCAGCTCTCTATTTCTTTTCTTATTCCTGGATATTTAGTCAACTGCATAGCAAATTCAAGCAACATAAATTATGTGAAGCACACCATGAAATCTCCGAACAACTCAAATTTCTAAATTTTAAGAAAATCTCTGTTCTTCTCCTCTAATATGAGTTTGATGTTTCCACCTTCCTATTTTACTGGAAGGTTGTGTCCTACCGTTGTTGTTTTAGAGTCTTCCAAAATTATGTGGAGATTATGGAGAATTGTAGAGAGAGAGAGTTAGACGATACTAAAATGTTGGAGAGTGATAGATATTGCAGGGAACAGAGAATATTCTAAAATAATATAGAATGTTGTTGTGTTGTAAATATTGACAATATTTATGTGGAGAGTTTGAAAGAGTTATTGTATGCCTATAAATAGGATGAGAGTTCCATTCGTGAACAATAAGCTCTAGGTGACCACCAGCCTTATTAGTTGTAGAAGTATTGATTTGTTTGAGTTGAATGATGTTATACATTATTAATTGATGATATAAGAAAAGGGAAAGAACGATCCCTGGAGGCGTCCGTTTTTAGACAGTGATGATATAAGAAAAGGAAGCGAGTGATTTTACTTAATATATAAAAAGGAAAGTAGGGTAGGAATCACGCAAGTTCCTGTTCGGCTGGCTTTGTTTGCCGGCTTATTCCTGTTTGGAAACTAGTAATGCTTTGTTGTATTAAGTCTGGAGGTGGCGTGTATTAACTTACTCTTGTAAATGTCTCTCAAGTATAATGAGAATATTATAGAATCCACTCGGACATTGTGTTACACTGCAAAAACACCTTTTTTCTTTTCCGCTTAATTTCAGTTATAATGTTAATACTGACTGAGGTCTCATAATTCACGGAAAAAAAAAAAATTAAGATCTTAGAATCTTTTTATTTTCTACATTTTAAAAGTTGTTAAAGGGGTTTTTCATGTTCTACCAAAATTTTTCTTCATACCGAGTATAAATGTAGTGTACCTTTCCCAAATGAGGTATCTCAGATCAATTCAAGGAAGAATGAGTTGCAATGCCACTAATGTTCTAGGATATATTGCAGGTTTACTTGGAGAACATCACCTAGAACTATAAATATATATATTTTTTTCCCTTCTATTTTGGAAGGTGAGTAAGTACCATTTTGAAAGTTGGTTTTTCTGTGACATTTACCTTGAGAAATGAGGAATCTTCTCTCTTTGGAATCGCTTTTCAGGTTCTACATGGTGAAGAAAGGGGGGAAATAGCCGCGCTACTTCTTTCCCCTTTGAGGCCAGCATTCAAGAGACCAACGTGCACTGAACCAAAACAAAATGGAAGTCAGTTTTACCATATGTTCTTGACTAATCCTCTTCAGGCATTTTGCCGGTTGATTGGCCTCACGTCTTTTGATATTGATGCAGTGAGTTAGTTGCAAAATGTACTGAGCATCTAGCATATTGATTGTATTCATTCACGAGGCTCTGCTTTCAGGATGTTTACAATGATGCTGACAACGTTGATTATATCCATTCACGAGTTTCTAGCAGCATTGCTGTAACGACCCTAGCTGATGCCAAAATTTAAAAAAAATTCGGCATGACCTCCCCTAAAAAGGGGACTACAACCACCTGCTTAAATAAAAAATAAAAATAAAAACGCAATGGCCCTTCCTGGCCTTTCAAAACACCTCCAACCTGTCCCAACACATAATAAAATTAATATACTCCAACATCCCATCCATCCGTTCACTATACCTCAATGTGACTCATCTCATAGTGGAACATCTACATATCGTTTAATCCAAATTATCATAATTACAGTCCCAAAATATAGTTACAATAACAAGAGTTTCACGAATCTCTATACCAAATATAACAAACTAAGATTTTACAAAAATATGGGACTTAATACAAAAATAGCAAAAAGAAGTCTTCTAATCCAAATTAGGCCTGTGGTGGAAAGTCATCCGCCACTTCTTTCCCGTTTCCTGAAAAAAATTATTAAATAATAAGGTGAGCATAAAGCTCAGTAGGTAGCACTTAAGACACGCATCTTGTGTCCTTGTGAATCAATATAAAGAATAGATCAATAGGAATGGGGATCATACAATATCGGGATAATACAACATTCCAATCAAACTCAAGTACAAACAATGCAATGCCATGAAATGCGAATGCATGCCGATGTCGCTCCCCGTTTTCACATTTAAAATCCATCTCTTTCAAACTGTTAATATAACCCGCCCTTTGGTGACCCCGCAGCGACACGAGAGGAGGATTGGCTAGTGTCCCTGACCTTTGGTAACCCCGCGGCGTCATTATGGGGCCCAGCTAGCTCAACCACGCTAGGGCGACTCCCTAGTCCCCTCTAGGCTATATTAACACTCCGGCCCTTTGGTACCCCCGCGGCGACCGGGTTTTCATAAAACCATTTCGTAAAAACTCTTTTCCCAAAATTTCCCTTTTTGTTTCAAGCAAATTCTCCCATTTCATGCAAACCCAATGGTATGTACATGTATATATATCCATGCTTTCAATATTATGGCATTTAGAATTTTACACCACATAATTAAGCATACATCATATTTAACATCTCTAAATGAATTATCAATACATTAAACACAACAAGACAACACAAAATTTTACACCACAAAATTAAGCATACATCATGTTCAACATCTCCAAATGAATTATCAAAACATTAAACACAACAAGACAACCTCTAAGCATGCTTTTCTACTCATATTCATAATCATGAATTTTCCTAAACATCATTATATAATCATTGAAACAATTAACTTCCAAATTAAACATGCTTGTCACAACAAAAGAGATATAATTCACAATGGAGCAAGAAAAACATGGATTAAGAGCCCCTACCTCTAAATTGAACAAAACCCTTGAAATTGGGTCCTTAAATTCGAGCTCCCAAAGATGACCAAAAGCTGGAATTTCTGGTACTAGCACGTAGAGCTCGTCGTGCTCGTCGTTTTGCCTCAAACGGCACCTAAATCCGCCAAGAATTGAGAGAGAAATCAAGGATTGAAGTTGAAAAAGAAAAAAGAAAAGAAAAAAAACAGAAGCAGCGAGAGAGAGATTTTAGCTGCCCGAGAGAGAAAGCAAATTGGAATTAAATGGGTCTGTAATGACCCTTATAACTCAGGTGGGACCCACAGTTGAAAAGTCATTATACTAATTATATATATAGATAAGTCAAAAACTTTACATTCTCCCCAACTTTAAAAGATTTCGTCCTCGAAATCAAGACATACCTGAGGAAGAGAACAACGCTGGGTACTTGGAACGAACCTCTTGTTCAAGCTCCCAAGTAGCCTCCTCGACTCCGTAGTGTCTCCAAAGGACTTTCACCATTGGTATCGTCTTGTTCCTCAACACCTTTTGTTGTGTGTCAAGAATCTGAACTGGTCCTTCCTCGTAGGAAACATCGTCATCTGGCTCGTACTTCCGTAACATCGATACATGGAAAACATTGTGGACCCTATCCAACTGTGGTGGCAAAGCAAGTCTGTAGGCAACCTCTCCTACACGGTCCAAAATCTCAAATGGTCCAATGAATCGTGGAGACAACTTGCCACTTTTACCGAATCTCATCAATCCCTTCCGTGGAGAAACCCGAAGAAAAACGTGGTCTCCCACCTCAAAGGATAACGACCGTCTCCGCTTATCCGCATAACTCTTCTGTCGACTCTGAGCTGTAAGTAACCTCTGTCTTATCAACTTAATCTTCTCAATAGTCTCGAGTACAATGTCAAGTCCTAAGGCGGCTGTCTCGCCTACCTCAGTCCAACAAACAGGAGGCCTACAAGGTCTACCATACAACGCCTCAAATGGAGCCATCTGAATGCTCGCCTGATAACTGTTGTTGTAGGCAAACTCAATAAGTGGAAGGTGATCCTCCCAACTACCTCCCAAATCAAGTACACATGCCCGAAGCATATCCTCCAAAATCTGGATAGCACGCTCTGACTGACCGTCCGTCTGTGGATGGAATGCCGTACTAAAATGCAACGCTGAACCAAACGCTACTTGAAGTCCTTCCCAGAACTTCGAAGTGAACTTATCATCCCTATTTGACACAATGGTTACAGGAACTCCATGCAACCTTACAATCTCATTCACATAAAGAATACCAAGCTTCTCTGCATCATCTGTTGCCTTAATAGGCAAAAAGTGAGCCGTCTTGGTCAATCTGTCAATGATGACCCATACGGCCTCATTGCCCCTTCTTGACCTTGGAAAACCTGTCACAAAATCCATAGCAATATGCTCCCATTTCCATTGCGCTACAGGTAATGGTTGTAACAAACCTGCTGGCCTCTGATGCTCGGCCTTCACCTGCTGACAGGTAAGGCATCTAGCCACAAACTGTGCAACATCTTTCTTCATCCCTTTCCACCAATACTGACATCTTAAATTGTGATACATCTTGGTACCACTTGGATGAACTGCAAAGCGGGAAGTGTGAAACTCCCGTAGGATGTCCTTACGACAACATGTGAGAACCACCAACAAACCCCTGAACCGTAGACCCCCATCTGTATACAAAGCCCAATCTTTCACTGTCTCACCACTGGAGATTAAAGCGTGAATGGCATCTAAATCCGGGTCCTGTCTCTGTGACTCAATCACTCGTACAACAAGAGTAGGCTGAGCCATAAGACTAAATAAGAATGCCGGCTCGCTGTCAACATCGTCATCAAAACAATACAATCCCATCTCTGCCAAATCCTTAAGCATCTTCCACTTCCGAATAACCAGACAGGCCAAAGTTCCACGAGATTTTCGATTTAAGGCATCTGCTACCACATTTGCCTTGCCCGGATGATACTGCAAGTCAAAATTATAATCTTCCAAGAATTCAACCCATCTTCTCTGTCTATTGTTCAAGTCCTTTTGGGAGAAAAGGTACTTGAGACTTTTATGATCCGAGTACACCTCGAATCTTTCACCATACAAGTAATGTCTCCAACACTTCAAAGCAAACACAACTGCCGCCAACTCCAAATCATGAGTAGGGTAGTTGTACTCGTGAGTCTTCAACTGTCGAGACCCATAAGCCACTACTCTACCATCCTGCATCAACACACACCCTAAACCATCACGTGAAGCATCACAATAGATTACATAATCCAAGCCACGCTCAGGTATCACCAACACTGGAGCCGTAGTCAATCTTGTCTTCAATTCCTGGAAAGATGACTCACAGGCTTCATTCCATGCAAACTTAATCCCTTTCCGGGTTAAACGGGTCATAGACGCTGCTAAACGGGAGAAATCTTTCACAAATCTCCGGTAGTAACCCGCTAAACCAAGGAAACTGCGGATCTCAAACACATTCTTGGGTCGCTCCCAAGTCAAAACTGCTTCAACCTTTGATGGATCAACTGATACTCCACCTTCTGAAACAACATGCCCCAAAAACTTCACCTCCTGTAGCCAAAACTCACATTTCTCGTATTTGGCATACAATCGGTGCTCCCGCAAAATCTGTAAAACAATACTCAAATGGATCTCGTGATCTTCCCGAGTCCGTGAGTACACAAGAATGTCATTCACGAAAACTATCACAAACTGGTCCAAGTAATCGTGAAAGACGCGGTTCATCAAGTCCTTGAATGCCGCTGGTGCATTAGTCAAGCCAAAAGGCATAACAAGGAACTCATAGTGTCCATACCGTGTACGGAATGCTGTCTTCGGGATATCCTCATCCCTAACCCGCAACTGATAATAGCCAGACCTCAAGTCAATCTTCGAGAAACAACTGGCTCCCCTCAACTGATCAAATAAATCATCTATCCTTGGCAAAGGATACTTGTTCTTGATGGTGGCATGATTCAACTTCCGATAATCAATGCACAACCTCAACGAACCATCTTTCTTCTTAGCAAACAAGACCGGTGTGGCCCACGGTGACACACTCGGTCGGATGAAACCTTTCATCCTCAAATCATCAAGCTGCCTCTTCAATTCTTCCAATTCAACTGGTGTCATACGATACGGTGCCATAGAAATCGGCGCAGTACCATGCATCAAATCAATAGTGAACTCCACTTCTCGGTGTGGAGGCAACTCTGTCAAATCTTCTGGAAAAACATCCAAGAAGTCACAAACAATTGCCGGATAAACTTCTCCCACGACATCATCTTCTTCGGCTAGAAGACTAGCTAAGAAATAATCACCATGACTTCGTCCACGAACTCCATAAAATGATGAAATGTGGGAATCACTCCGATCTCCCACGAAAAGAAACAGTCTCCCTCGGGAGTACAAACTGTAGCCCTTCCTCTGAAACAGTCGATCGTGGCATGAAAGGAAGCTAACCAATCCATCCCGAGAATGACATCAAAGCTAGTCATTTCTAAGAGGATAAGGTCAAACACAAAAGTCCGCCCGGCTATCACAATGGAACAGTCCCTCACGACTCGGCTCAAAGACATTGAAACTCCAACTGGCGTATCAACACATAACGCCCGATCCATAAAACTGACCTCTAACCCCGATGTAAGTGCAAATGATGATGAAATGAAAGAATGAGATGCACCAGAATCAAACAAAACACGGGCCCAACAACCAAACACTGGAAATATACCTCGAAGAACTGACGGTCCAGAAGATGCATCGGTCTGTGCCAGTGCAAAAACACGTCCCTGTGGTACCTGTGCCTGAGGACTGCCAACCTGAACACCTGACTGCTGCACTGACATAGTAGGAGTATCCCTCCTAACTGACCGTAAACCCTGTGAAGACATGGCAGGCTGTGGTGGTGGCGGTCTGAAACCTGACTGAACTGTAGCCGACTGAGACGGCCTCTGTCGTGACCCCCTGCCACTACCTGTGCCTGCTCCCTGGCCTGGACAATCACGAATCAAGTGACCCTGCTGGCCACACCCATAACAAGCCTTCGGAGCTGACGAAACTGAAGACGATCTCATCGGACAACTGGACTTGTAATGCCCAGGCTGCTGACACTAATAACAAACAACTGCACTCCTGTCAGATCCAGCTGGCATAGGAGTGGTAGGAGCAGATCTTGTAGACTGTTGTCCCTGAAACTGAGATGAACCACCCTTGTTCTTCTTCCAAGAAGATCCCTCTGAAGATAGCCCTGCACCCCTCTTTTGCTTCCATTGTTCTCTTCTTGCATCTTTCTCTTTATTATCAGCCTCCAACATCAAAGCCCTTTCCACTGCTTCAGAGTAAACCTTAATGAACTGTGCCGTGATCAACGGCCTCATCCAATCATTAAGACCAGAAACAAACTTCCGAGTCTTGTTAACTTCATCTCTCACCATTTCTGGAGCAAAGCGAGAAAGTGAAGTGAACTTGTTTTCATATTCTGTCACTGACATGCTCCCTTGGATAAGGTTATGAAACTGGTCTTGTAACTCCCATCTTTTGGAAAGCGGAAAGTACTTTTCATAAAACAATTCCTTGAACTTGTCCCAACTCATCTCTTCCACCTTGTATCGGCTCGTAACCGACTTCCACCATAATTTAGCATCCTTAGCAAACTTATAAGTAGCTAGGATGATCTTCAAATGATCCTCTGTCACATCCATAGAAGTCAATTGAGTTTCAACTTGCTCCATGTAGTCATCTGCTATCATTGGATCCGCACCGCCCTCAAACATAATCGGCATCAGCTGAGAAAACCCCTTAATAATCTTGAGACGCTTCTGAGCTGGCGTCTCCTCAACTTGAACTGTAGGTTGTGGTGCCGACTGCGACTGAGCAGCAATCGTTGCCCTCACGACATTTTGCAACAAACGATTAAACTCCAGTGCCACAGAACCTTCACCCACTTCTACGGGTGCTTCAACATTATCCCTCCTTGTGGGGATAGTTCTCGGGGGAATCAAGTCCCTAAGAAGTGTGTCCTCATCATTTAGCTCCTCCGGATTGGAGCTGGAGCTCTCGCCAACATCACCCCTAGTCGGTCTAAGGCCAACTTCCCTAATTTCCTCACGCCGTGACATCGTTCTATAAAACAAAAGAAACAATTCAATAACGATAACACTAAGGTCCAACCGTGAACAACCCAACGCAAAAACATACCGTACAAACATTTAGCATGTAATACTATGCAATGAACACATTAATGTAAGCATATAAACACATAAGCACGTAAGCAAGTAAGCAGTTAAGCATGCTTTTTCACATAGCAAAACACTTTTCCAAACAAGGAAATAACAATGCAAATGACTTCCCAGACAACCCTAGGCAAGCCTCTACCCGTCGTCCTAATGGTATTCGAACCATCACTCTGATACCAAATTTGT